ACACTACTCACTCTGCAGGACACACTACTCACTCTGCAGGACACACTACTCACTCTGCAGGACTCACTACTCACTCTGCAGGACACTATTCACTCTGCAGGGCACTACTCACTCTGCAGGACACACTACTCACTCTGCAGGACACTACTCACTCTGCAGGACACTACTCACTCTGCAGGACACACTACTCACTGTGCAGGACACTACTCACTCTGCAGGACACACTACTCACTCTGCAGGACACACAACTCACTCTGCAGGACACACTACTCACTCTGCAGAGGGTTCTCCTGCACCACCAGGGAACTAATATCGCGGGCCACACCCCCCACGCCCCCCGCCTGACACATGTAGGCTCCGGTGTCCGCAAAGCCGATGTTGCGGACGCGGAGTTGCGTTCCGTTGCCGAGCACCTCGTACTTGTGGGGGATGTCCACGCGCAGCGGCTCGTCGTTCTTCAGCCACTCAACCTACGCCAGAAATGTAGGAATGGATAAATGTAGGAATAGATAAATGTAGGTAAATAAATGAATTTGGAAATAGATTAATTTTGGCATAAATGAATTGGGAAATAAATGAATTTTGGAATAGATAAATGCAGAAATTAACAAATGTAGAAATAGATAAATGTAGGAGTTGATAAATGCCGGAATAGATCAATTTGGGAATAGACAAAAGTAGAAATAGATAAATGGAGATAAAGAGATACATGCAGTAATAGAGAAATTATGTAAAATGTTACGATTTGGTAGTAGACGCTGCGATATAGAATTTAATTGAGTATGACCTGAGGGTGGTTCGTATGTAGCGGGATTCGAGGATATAGAGGAACAGCGTAAACGATTTTATAATATACTTTTAGGATTATAGTTAGGCTTACAGTTTAGGATAATCTAAGCTTATAAGTTGGAGCTTTTACACTGATGTCTTCGGCGTCCAGTTGAAGTAGGGATAAGTCTAGAGTGTATCTTCTACTCTGACATTAATTTAAAGTTACTGTCCTGATGGATACGGACAAGAGTAAGGGCTTACACACGACTGTTCTCGGCCCAAGACTGAGCTTTCCGCGTCTGGGCAGAGCTCAAATAGCTTCGCTACGTGACGTCACCGAGGGCGTGACTTATAAACAGGAAAGGCTAATACAAGGAAATGCTCATGAACATATCGCATGTGAAGGATCTTATCTTTCAACAAGGAAGACATCAATCAGGAAATATCCAGGGACGAATGGTATCAACATTTTCACCTGACAATAATTGCACAGAAAAAAAAAGAAATTATTGTTGCCGAAATAATTGAAAATGTTAGATGAAGACAACATTTTAATTATTCGGACACTTGAATTGGTTATGGAATACAGAAAAAATTACGATGCAATTAAGAAAATAATACGTGAATCCAAAATTTTTGTAACTGAACGAATTGAAAAAACGATCTTCAAACAATAGCTGCATAGCCACCGATAATCATCAATGCGCCCCCTTAAATTTTTATTTGGGTGAGATCTTCAATAAATAACTTCAAAAATAATTATTGAAGAAATTAAAATAAATTAAATATTAAAATGTATTGTTACTCAGCGTGGTCTATGCAGCACACACGAACCATAAATAAAACATTATATTATAACTAGTGAAATAGGGTTCTAAACTATTGATGGAACTTTTAAAAACCATTGTTGATAGAAATAACAATATGTATATTCTATCATTCTAATATAAAATATTCTGAGGCAGTATCCTAATTAGTAGCATATAGTATTAGAATAAATATCATTAGAATAAGTAGTATTAAAATAGAAAGTAGTACATCACCGCGCCTGACCTTAGGGAAAGGCTCGCCCGTAGCGCGACAGCTCATGTGCGCCTCCTCGCCAGGCCGCAGGTCCTGGATGTGGGGCGTCACTTGTACGCGCGGCACCGCTGCACAGTTGTTATTGCTATTATAAAAATTATAACTATTGTTATTATTATTATTATTGTTATTATTATTATTATAGTTATTATTATTTTTATTATTATTATTATTGAATTCCTGGTTCTCAACTGCAGTTCTCTTGTATATTTCGTTCACCTGATGCACGTGTGTCACTGACATTTCACTTTAATTCGGTTTTAAAAGCATCTAGAGTTTCAGTTGCGGTGTTGGCTCTGGACAGAACAGAAGGAAATGTTTGGTACGTGTGTTTTAATTCTGAAGATCCGGATAGCTAGTATACTTGACTTTTATCGTGTTATATGTTCGAAATAAATTATTTTACTTCTCGATTATACCTTTTGTGCAATACTAATTTTATGTAACCATTTTTACTTTGTATATTGTTTGTTCGCAGAAACCGATTTTATTAAAAAGGGAAAGGAAAAATCGAGACCCTGTTTTCCGCTTTATTACTATAATTATTACTATTTCTATTATTATCATTATTATACTTATTCCTATTGTTTTTATAATTAATATAAATATTGCTATTGCTAATAATATTATTTGTTAATATTATTATCGTCATTATCAAGTTTTTTGTCTTATATTGACAACAGAAAACTTTTATTATTTTATTTTGAGTCGAATCGAAAAAGATCGAATCTAGAAGAACTATTATCAAACAATTTGACTTTAACATGATTGAAATTATAGTTTGGGTTACTTTATATTCGATTTGCATCCACTGATAGTTTTAAATTTACAATACTCCTTAAAAACGTAGACTCTTTAAATGACAGATTCAATTCAGCAACAAAACAGCCGAAAAATATTTTATTATCTCAAAATAAATTTTTAATATTATACCAGCAGCTCATTCAGCTAAATGCTGAATAACAAGCAACTCAGACGCGATAAATAATTTTTCAATGGCAAACTAATTCAGATAATCAAATAAATCAAAAACCTCATCGATTGAATTCAGATAAATTAAACTATCCATAAGTTTAGCCTGAATTTATAGCGTTTAACGAAAGTTTTGCCCAGGTTTAGCGTAAATTTAGAGTGAAATTTCAATATTAAAACTCATTAAAAGTCTATGCAGATTTCAGAAGTAAATCAAAAACCTGATAGCTCAACGTCACTTGATGATACGAAAAAAATTCCCTCAACTCGAGTCTTAAATTTTTTATTCCAAGTTTCGGCTTGACTTCGGCAGCTAAAAGAAGTCCGCAACCAAGCAAGAATCAAGAAAGTCTTGCTAATCGTCATAAGCCGCAATATGAATAATTGCAAAAATTTTCCCCAAAATCTCAAGGTTCGTTTAAATTCAAGTAATTCATTGTATAGTAATTCATTGTATATAAAGGCAGGCATTCATTAAAAGCGCCACACCTCGGGACTCGAGTGTTGTTAGCATGCAAATGAGCGCTGGCGAGCCTATATACTACATTATTATAGTAGGTTCCTTGCATACAAATTTCATGTCATTGTGGGCGCGTAAAGTGAACTAGGTAAAAAGAAGCTTACTGCCGCACATATAAAAGTTATTGGGTCATATTGTCTAAAAAGCGACACACTTTCCTGACCACATAACTATTAAAGAGAGTATTTATCCCTGAATCCCTCTTTTGCGAGGCCAAAATGGGTCGGAATGACCAAAAAAAGACTGAAATTACATCGCTATGTGGACAAAATCTCCTTCATTTGTCTGAGTGGGCGTGAACTGAATTTAAAAATCATTGACACGAAATACTAAATAGTTCGTGCAAACTTAGGCTATGCCGTGACTGCAAAGCGCTGAATTTGAACGACCTTAAGTTTTATCTTACGTAAGAAATGACTGACGAAACTTGAGGACGTTCAAAGGATTAGTCTGAATACAGAGCTCAACAAACTCCAGGACGACTCATGACCTCATTTAATTTTTTAAAGAATTCATTTACTTTCCTTTGATGAAATTTTTCATGTGTTTTATGACACACAAATCCGATTTTTAGGTATTAACTTCAGCTGCTATCTATGCGAAGTGATTTGCTCTTCAGTTTATAAAACGCATTTTGGATAAACAATCGTCCATCTAAATACGGCTCTCCTATGCACAGTACATATGTAATTTAGAAAGAAAGATAGAAACCGTGCATGGAAAGAACATGGATTGAGAAAATGGATCATATTCACAACAGTATATTTTATCAGCCTCTTAAAGTACAGCACAAGGAAAGGATGGAAAACAAAGATAAATATATAGAGCAGCGAATTTTTCAGCGACTTCAAGTACAGTGCATAGGAGACTAGAACAGGAATACATTTCCAGCACCAGCGTTGTTGTAAGCCGCTCACACGCAAATGCGATTGCTTCGACGCCGTTAAACCAAAGCGCTACAGCAAAACTACTTTAGAGACCAGCCCGGAATTGACAACGTAAACCGCAGCTCAACTTCCATTTCCCTGATCGACGAAAGAGCGAGCAGTTGTAGTTGTTTAGATTTTCTGCAAGGATTCTAAATTATTTATTTAATTATACTTGCTTTTCTTAAATAATGTTAAAACAACATTAGAATATAACAGTTAAGTTTAACAATATTTTTATTAAGTTTTTAAGTTTTAGTTTTATTTAGTTCTCTACTGACGAGTGAAGTGATGTCATCGTTGAAATGCAATATTTTAGAAGCGAAATTGCCAGAAATCGTTCATAGGGATGATAAACAAGAAAAAAAAAATGATTAAGGATGATGTACCGTGCAATAAATTAAGCTATCATTTGCATATGACATATTTTATATCGCAGTATTGTAATGGATTTTATTATGATATATTAATTTTTAACTATAATTATTAATTTAAATAGTTTACTGCTAAGAAGTTTCATGCAGAAGGTTCCTTAACAAGCATCATCAAAAGAAATTTATCCTGAGTCCTTAATTTGAAAACTGTAGATTCCTGAAGGCTATTATTATTATAAGTATTACTTTAGAGTATTAAATATTTTACTTATTGTATTGAAAATCATTTTACTTAGTTATCCAAAAATGTACGTGTGATATAATAAGTAATAAATAAATTACTTATAAAATAGTAATAAATTGAGGCTTTGAAGGGGCAGGATTTCAAGGACAGAAAGTGACGTCTAAAATTGGCGCACTCAGAGAAATAAGAGAGATATTGTTTGAATAGCAATGTGATTTTTGACCTTGCTTGGGTCATCCTGACCCAGTTTGGCGAAAAAAATACGCATCAGTGCTACGTCCGCTCTTTGCTCGTAACATGGTTGAAAAAATATAACTCAGTACTCACTGCAGTGAGTAACAGAGAGCGCATTTTCTCGTCGACGAAAACTTGAGGTAACGGACGGACGGACGGACAGACAGACAGACAGACAGGCAGACGGAAATGGCGAGGACAGACTGACGGACGGACGGACAGACAGACAGACAGACAGGCAGACGGAAATGGCGAGCACAATAGTGCATTTTTTCCATAATTGAGAAAATGCGCTAAAAAGCTTCACAATTCGATCAACGACACATTCATTTCTCAGTGTAAGTACCTTCAAAATTTAATTAAAATAATCCTTAGTATCATACCTAGGATCCTTCAAAGTTTATTAAAAATAATCCTAAGGATTATACCTAGGATACTTGACTACGAAGTTATGAAGCTACGTGAATGACTGTGCACGCGCGCATGCGCGGCTCCACTTTAGATAAGTAAATGTAGATATACATCATTAACAGAATTTTTAGAAGGCCTAGCTCTAGATAAGTAAATCTAGATTTACTAGTTTTGTAAATTATATGCACGGCGTCACTCTAGGTAAGAAAATCAGGATTTACTAGATAAGTGAATAGTCTTTACAGTAACTCTAGGTAAGTAAATCTTGATTTACTAGATAAGTAAATAGTCAGTACAGCGTAACTCTAAGTAAGTAAATCTAGATTCGCTAGATAGGTAAATTGTCTGCACGGCGTCACTCTAGATAAGTAAATCTATATTACTAGATAAGTAATTCTAAATGTTTTGGATTTGTAAATTGTTTGGAGAGCGACTCACTAGATAATTAATTCTAGATGTACTATATAAGTAAATTGCGTGACTGACTGTGCACGTGGAGCACGTGTGTCTGCACGACGTCGCTGTTTCGGTCAGCATGACACGTGTAGTTTCCTGCGTGCACGAGCTGCAGGCGCGTCAGGTACCTGTCTCTTATACNCAGCGTGACACGTGTAGTTCCCTGCGTGCACGAGCTGCAGGCGCGTCAGGTAGAGCGATCCGTCCACGAACACACGAATGTCCTGGCCACGAAAACACGAAAAATACTATTAATTATTTCTAACATTATTGCTGGACGAAATTATTTTACGGAAATGACATTATAAATTATAGCTGAACACAAAACCATTGGCAAGAGCCTGATAAAAATATAATCGTATTCTTCTACGTATATTTTTTTCATGCTTTTCTATTTTTATTTATTTATTTACACTGATAATTTACAATGCAGAGCAGCAATTTATTCATCATTACCATGGAATTAAAGATGACGAGGTCAAGCCCATTCATTCTACAAACGATGGGAGGCATGGGGGTGCAACAAACATCTAATTTATTTTAATATACATTAAAAATGATAAAATTCATCACCCCAATCCTTCTGTTAATCATCACCTCAGAGTTGAGTGCGGCGAGATCGAGCCCATTCCTCCTCCAGACAATGGGGGGCGTGGGGGTGCCGGTGACGTCACACTTAATCTCGAGGTTGTCCCCTACGCGCGCCGACACTACGTTCACCTCCAGGGCCTTGTCCAGCGACACCACCGACACGCCTGCGTGGGAAGGGTTTACATATTGAAAATATGAAATTTACATCATGAATACATGCTTCAAAACGTAAATGCACGCCTTACATTGTGAATATGCGAATTACATCGTATATTCGGGTCTGGAAGCAGTGACAATACACCGTGAATTCGCTCCAAACATTGTAAACCCACGGTTCAAATTGTTGTTACACTCCATGTATTGTTAATACATGAATGAAATGTAGATTGTATTGCAAATCCACGCCTAGATAACATGCTAATTTATCTGATAAGCCATGCCAGGGGATATGTTCGTTGCATTTGCCCTGCTTGAACCGCTGGGGCTGCGGAGGAACATTTCTGCCAGTCCCCCGCCGCGAGTGAGCGTTCACTAGATGCAGTGTTCATGTATGTGTCAGCGAGAGAAAATACTTTATTCGGACGGCACTTTGTCAGGTGACATTATCAAGGTGCCACTGTCGGGGTAATAGATGAATGTCCGGCGTATTTATTTATAGATTGCACATAGGTTTAATCTGAGGACAGTTATTTTTTTATTATGTGGGGATAAATAATGCACACTCTGTCTAGCTTACACTTATCTCGAAACAGGGTGGTTACGTTTCGAATTCACTAAAGAGGTTTAGACAGGTATACGGCTAAGACTTCTACCGTTCGGTCGGAGTAACTAACGATGAGTGTTACATCGCGGAGGTTGTGCAAGCAACTTGTAGGGTTTATCAAAGAGCGCAGCCCTTATTTTATACACTTAGTACTTCCACCCACAAAGAGCGGCCTTGCTCACGTAATGTTGTATCGACGCTGAGTCAGTGTCTGGCACTCTGTTGAGCCTATTGAACATTACGTCTCAATTTCAGATGCTTGAATCTCATAATATGATTATAAAGAAACATGTGTAATAAACGCCGGATGTTCGTGTTTCGAAAACAAGACAGCGAAGAGTGAAGAGAATGTGCAAATCTTTTGTAATTTTGCTGCAGTTATATTCTTGCCATTCTTGCCACCTTAGTAGGAAAATAGCAATAGGCGTCGCCCATCTGCTAATTTACTTTCGAAATAATACTAAATAAAGTTTTATTTAGTTAGACGTGTACTGTCTGTGAAATATTAGTAATTCTGATTGTAGAAGCTATCAGCGATTTTTATTCCTAAGAAAGAGCCACGATGAATGCTTCGTAGAGTAATAATAAGGAGAATCGCTGGTTTTAAACTTAATATTTTACACTTTGACTGCAATTATTAATGTGCCCAACTTCCATAGACGGTGATATATATCACCTCTTTTGTGNGTTATCGAACGCGTCCACTGAAGGGTTAAGCAAAGTTTATTATACGCAAGAGAAGCGAGCATTTGTGTATTTCTTGCTCATATAAAAAATAGACAAGCGCTGAACCTTAATTGTTCTGCATTAAAAATCATCTGTGTGGATAAGGTTAATGCCAATTTGTGAGAGCGGAATGCTTCCAAGAATCTCCCTCATCTCAGCGTTTGCGCCCCCGAACATCAGCTGAGTATACAAAAAATACAATTATTATAAAAAATTAATTCAGATATTAAATTGTACTATAAATTTTATACTGAATAATACAAATGAATGAGTCTACAAATTACCCAGGTGAACAATGTCTGCCGGCAAGAGATTCTTGGTCAGTGTTTCCGAGATTCTCGCGTACAAGCGCTCCAGGTAATAGCAGTGCAAATTCTTGTTAAGATTGAACTATGCAAGGTACTCTCAAATAAATAAGGGAAACTTTGTCCATGGTCGAAATCGAAAATCAAAGTACCGAAAGAATTTTTTAATATGTCAACAACGTTCCAAATGTATCGAAATTTATTATCAAGTTACAAGACGATATATACAATGAGATTTGGATCGATATAATTACAAGATCTTGTGAATATTATCCTACTCGAAAATGAGATTTGGGCAGAAATCGAATTAGCCTTAGGGAAAAAATTCAGACATCCTATGCTAATATGAAACGAAGCCCGTATTTTAAAACGAAGCCCGTTTTAACCGTGTGAGGTATTTCTTAAAACTCTAAAGCCAAATCCCAACAATTTATTCGAACACAATCCAGTGACATATAGCGATGCCTTTTATTTCCTAATAGCGAGGCCTTTTTTCGTTTGTACCTTTCATCCTTACCTATTTAGAACAACGAAACGTCGTATTAGTGTTTCGTAACAAATTGTGTCACTATTCGGACAAAACTCCATGCATTTTTAGTAGTGTGTGACTCCGGAATCCCAAGAAGTATCTCATTCCCAATCCCTGAACCAGGCGCTCAGATCCCTCTTAAAGTCCATTACTAAGGATCACCAATTGCACTCGTAAAATTTGTGTCGGTAAATCGGGAATTCCGAGGTTAAATACTGCAAATTTTAAGCAATCTTCACTATGAACTGCTTCTGTGGCTGCATGTATTGTTTTCAGGAGTAACTACGGCTGCAGGTATTGTTCTCAGTGGTATCTGTGGATGCAGGTATTGTTCTCAGTGGTATCTGGGGCTGCAGGTATTGTTCTCAGTGGTATCTGTGGCTGCAGGTTTTGTTATCAGTGGTATCTGGGGCTGCAGGTATTGTTCTCAGTGGTATCTGGGGCTGCAGGTATTGTTCTCAGTGGTATCTGTGGATGCAGGTATTGTTCTCAGTGGTATCTGTTACTGCAGGCATTGTTCTCAGTGGTATCTGTGGCTGCAGGTATTGTTCTCAGTGGTATCTGTGGCTGCAGGCATTGTTCTCAGTGGTATCTGCGGCTGCATATATTGTTCTCAGCGGTAACTGTGGCTGCAGGTATTGTTCTCAGTGGTAACTATGGCTGCAGGTATTGTTCTCAGTGGTAACTATGGCTGCAGGTATTGTTCTCAGTGGTAACTATGGCTGCAGGTATTGTTCTCAGTGGTAACTACGGCTGCAGGTATTGTTCTCAGGCGTAACTATGGCTGCAGGTATTGTTCTCAGTGGTAAGTGAGCTTGCAGGTATTGTTCTCAGTGGTATCTGCCGCTGCAGGTATTGTTCTCAGTGGTAACTACGGCTGCAGGTATTGTTCTCAGTAGTATCTGTGGCTTCAAGTATTGTTCTCAGCGGTATCTGCGATTGCAGGTATTATTCTCAGTGGTATATGCGACTGCAGGTATAATAATAGCTATATAACAATAAAGCTTTTGAACAAAGAAGCTATAGAAAAACAAAGCTACAGATTAATATTATTTTAAACAAGCTGTGTCTACTGGGAACAGTAACTTGTTCTCTAAACAAAGCAGCCACATCTATTAAAATGCCGTCAAAGCACGTGTTTCACTAATAGGAACTTCACAAAAAAATAGGAACTTCTAAAAAAACTTAGGCTTCAAATAAACAGTCCAGAAGGATTCGCAGTCAAAAAAATATTGCCGTTTAAAAAATTTATATTTTTTATGCAGTAGGCAATTACTAACTGTGTGAAATAATAACAAATCGCGTGAAAAATCAATGGTGCATATTGGTCCTTTGTTATACTTCTAGTTTCACTTACTAGAAGGTTTTTAAGATATTTTATGACGAGTATTATTGACTATTATGTAATCAAAATTCAAAGAAATATATGCTCGATCTTTACTTTCAATTTAATTTGAAAGTTTTATGACTGCTCATATATTTAGACCGGCTCAATGGGAGACTGGAACGATGATTTACATATTTTTATTAGAGTTCATCTTGTGACTTCGAAAGCAAGGTCAATACAAAAGAAAATATAATCATTTACTTTTTTGAAAAAGATAAATATGATATAAAAATGAATATGTATATTAATAAAGCCAAAAATTATAGATATGAAGATGCTATCAGCCTACTTTTAAAAATCATGCCATGCTTGTAGAGGCCTACATTTTATGGCGTTAGTAACAAAAAAAATATGTATAAAAGCGCCTCAAAAACCTGAGGCAGCAAATGCGCAGAAAAGAAACGTGTTTAACGTAAAGGCAGCAGCAGCGCAACATCAGGCACCATTGACAAACTTAAGAATACAGACTGTGCACAAAAGAAGCGTTACGATGGGAGACTTACTGTACAACTTACTGAAGGCGGTGTAGAACTCGTTGAGGTTGAGGTGACCGTCTGTGTCGAGGTCGTCGTAGCGAAGGAGGTCCTTCAGGGAGCACGAGTCTGACAGCTGCTTCAGGTCGGCGTCGCTCGAAACCTGATTTACATATATATATTATATAATAATATAGTTTAATTACTCATAATTAATACTTTTTAAAGCCTAAAATAATCGNAGCGAGTCAAGTAAAAACGCGCGTCTCATATGCAGGCTCGAATCTGCAATGAACCAGCGACGGATAATTTTGCTTCCAGGGACGGCTTCTCGGTCTGCATGATTGAATTTTTATTGAATATATGTAATATAATTTCAAGCAGGAACTTTACAGGCATCGAAGATAATATTAAGAAACAACGTTATCAGCGCGTCTAAAGTATTTTCAATTCACAAGAAAAATTTTTAAGTTCATAGGACTTTACTTCAAGATTCACGTTTCAGTACAACTTCTCAAACTCTTACAATTAACCTATTCAAACTGTACAAACTCTGATCCTATCCGATGTATATACTCTATCTTGCGTTATGCAGTGAATTAAAGAGTGGAAAAAAGAAGCTTGTGCAGGTGTTAAGAACTTCAACGTGACAGAAATTTTTTGCTGTGAATTTTCGTAGAAAAAAGCAAAATATGAGATTAAACAGTTAAACCTTTACATGACATCAACAAGAATATCATACTTAAATATTATTTGCTTTCTGAATGCCTACCTATTTACGTAGTACAAAGAAATTACCTCAGCCCGAATTTAAACTCATCCGGAATTTGTTACTCGCAGAATTTTTCATCTCTTAGTTTAGGATTAGTATAATTCACTGATTCACTCGTCCTTTTTCACTAATAAAAGAAAAATCACCAAAGCTAACTTACATCCTCCAAAATTGTTCGGCAAGGGAGTGAATTTTTTTAGGATCAAACAACCAATTATTATGTTTACACTAACATCAGCGGCAACAACTTCTTTTCATAGTGAGAGAACAATATTTATTTCATTTCGCAGAAAGTATTGTATCTCATCAATGTTTTCTACGTTCAACATTCATTATCTGATATTTATAAACTAATCGATACAGTTTGTAGCTTTGACCAATAACATTCAACATGAAAAAATTCTGTTTTATGTCGGAAAAGTGGGTGATGTACCATATTAGTAAAACTTGTTAACATGATCTTATACAGAACGAATTTCTAGTATAAAATGCATAGCCCCTTTCACTATTGAATAAACGTTATTCGAATCAACAGAAAATATTTAGAATTAATTATGTACAGTAAAATGAAGATTCGGTGCATTTATAGAAACAAAAAAGTTTTAATTCTTTGTTTGGCATGTGGGACTTAATTAGGACTGAAACACGTAATTGATTAATGTAAATGAAATATTTTCAGGATGAACAATCAATCGAAAGTAAGTCGCTCTATTTTTAAAGTTGCTACCGGTTAACGTTCAGTTTACGTTACCTCGCTTACTGATTTACTATGTTAAAAACTTCACTTATTAATAGAACACAATTGATGTGAAATCTAAGAATTAAAAAAGTTTGTTTGTGGCAATGGAAATGAATGTTAGTGTCAGTAAGGAAATAAGAACGTACGCGATGCGTGTAATTAACGTGTAAGAACAGGTAAAATTGTAAAAAATATAACTCAGTACTCACGGCAGTGAGTGACAGAGAGCGCATTTTCTCGTACATAAATCAGTTTTCATTACGATTAGTACAGTGCATTAGAGCTAGAGATGTCGTATCTTTGATACAGGCATGTTTGCTTCTTAAAATCGACAAAAACGTGAAGTCACGGACGGACGGACAGACAGACAGACGGACATGGCGAGCACAATAGTGCATTTTTTCTATAGAGAGAAAATGCGCTAAAAAGGAATTTGGCTTTACTCACGAAACACGCCTTATGCTCGTCGTAAGCGCCTTATTTGGCATGACCGTGAAATATAATTAGTCAAGATTCTTCTGGTAGTACGATATTTTTTCGTGGATTAAATATTTTTGGCCTAAATATGCAATAAAAAGTAAAAATAATGATAATAAAACTTCTTGGTATAAGTTCCTACAAAAGGATTGACCAGGTTTCATGAAACGAAACAAAGAAGTTTTTCAAAATAAAGAACCGCACAAGTTTAATCCAGATAACAATAGAAGTTGAATAAAATATAATTTGCAAGTCAAATTAGGCTTTTTCATTCGCGAAATACGTCACAGAGTAAGAGACCTTTTCGTCTGCCAAAAATTAAAATAGTTTTTCGTCCGTTACAACTAAAAAGACATTTTCGCCCGTCACAAATTAAAAGACCTTTCGTCTGTCACAAATTAAGTAACTTTGTTGCAGTTGAAGACAAGTGCAAGAATACAGTCTATGCGACACAACACGCGCCACCAAAATTTAGTCGCTTTATACGAGATCAGCTACAAAAAATTCCTGAACTTCATTCCAGAGCTTGCCGTTGGAAAATATACTGAGTTGCTCGAGATGAAGATATTATAACAAATAGATGTGAACGGTGACAGTAAATGGAATAAAGTACTCGAAATAAAGACAAACTAAAGGCATGTGGCTAATTTTAGCAAGAAATCCGGTAACTTTGTACAATAAAAAGAAAATAAAGAAAAAATATGTTAAAATCGCAGGTAAAAGTGGGAGACTATAGCAACTTTAATAGAACGCTTCAGAGCATTTCCATCCAATGTAAAAATTCACGTCCAAAAATATTTTCTCTCATACGCTTAAATTTTCACGCAGAAATTCCCTTTTGTGGCTATTATTATCAAGGGAAAATTTCACTGATGTTATCATGCAGAAAAATTCCGTAAAAAACGCTAGGCTTGGGGTGGGCTCAATAATATGCATATTATTCGCATTATTCAAGTTGGGGCCTTCGCTGATGAAAGGAATTTCCGTTAACGGCGCACAATGACGACAGCGATCACGAGAGCGGCGCCTGATGAGTCACGACAGCGGCGCCTGATGAGCCACGACAGCGGCGCCTGATGAGCCACGAGAGCGACGCCTGATGAGCCACGGCAGCGGCGCCTGATGAGCCACGATAGCGGCGCCTGATGAGCCACGATAGCGGCGCCTGATGAGCCACGACAACGGCGCCTGATGAGCCACGACAGCGGCGCCTGATGAGCCACGACAGCGGCGCCTGATGAGCCACGACGGCGCCTGATGAGCCATGACAACGGCGCCTGATGAGCCACGACAGCAGCGCCTGATGAACCACGACAACGCGCCTGATGAGCCATGACAGCGGCGCCTGATGAGCCACGACAGCGGCTCCTGATGGTCGGGCGCTGGTGTCTGGAATGACCGCAATATCGCCGCGCCGGCGCCGCTTTACTGCCGTAATGGCCCTCGCAGAGCAGATCTTTATAATCGCTACAAAGGGAATCAATGTGTCACTCTTAATGACCGTTGGTCCTAATGTCGGAGGCGCAGATGGGCTGTGGAGCGCATTAAAAGATCGTCCCTAATAGGCGACAAATGGGAAAATTGGCTATTATCAGAGCGCTGGAAATTTCACATACAATAAAAATAATCGTTCTAATGATACACGAACGAGAATTCAGCCTCCGTAGGTAAACGTTTCTAACTATTTTTAAGAAAATTTCATCGACCGTGCTCAAGAAAGTAAAACAACAGGGAAAGAAAAGACGAAAATTTGAATATCTAATCTTTGAGATGTATTTTTTGTACCTGTATAATGTAGTTTGATTAATTTTTATTTCTGTAGGTTTTAATTCCATTGTTCCAATTTCTTTCAGTCGACTAAAACAATTATTGATAGTTTCCGCGAGGATACAAGGAAAAGCAAAAGCAATTACTGTCTAAATTAGAGATAAATAAAGTCCTTAATATTTTTCGTTTCTTTGATCAAACTTTTAATTGCTCTCCCAAGAAATATATAATAAGAACTGTAAACCAGTTCCCTTCTCGCAAAAAAAAACCAACAATATATGGTGCAAAGCAGAGATATAAGAGCAATCATTGCTTGATGACAACTGGACCGATAACTATTAACTAAAGGAAATAATTTAAATTAATCGAGATTCTAGATAATGAAGGGGCTCGTCAAGAAAATCATATTTCGGAGAGGCTTATTTCACAACAAGATTCATAACGCAGCCTCACCAATATTTCATTCGTCGAAGTTATAATGAAAGTTGCTCGGAAAATGGAAAAAAATAACGTGAGTTTAAACTTGGCGCCTATCGTCAAGATGAACGAACGAGAAAGGAGAGCAAAAAGGTGATGCATGTAAATGTGCAATCAGTTGTTATAATTAGACAAGAAATTGAGTAAGGACAAGATTAAATTAAGTGAAGATTAGGCAAGATCTTCAGTGAGGACCAGATTAAAATTAATAAAAATTGTGCAAGGAATCGAGTAAGGACCAAATGAATATTTCGTGATACTTGGGCAAGACAATTAGTAAGGACCATGTTAAAATTTCATGATACTTAATTGGGCAAGAATATAAGTAAGAGTGAAGTGATAATTGGGCAAAAGAGTGATTAAAAACCAAGTTGTAGCAAAAAATTAAGTCATTTAAATTGAAGATGAAACATGAATGCATTAAAGGAATGAATGTATTTGCAGTCGGTCGAACGCACCTAATGTCGAAACCATTAACTTTCAAACAAGCAGTGATTTGAGACTGGAGACACAGTGTTTCCTATCCCAGACTGTTATATTTTTTTGAATATTCGATTTTTTATCCTATAAAATCGAATATTTTATATTCGATTTAGTCCCAAAAATTGGTCGAGGTTGCCAAGATTAGAATTCAACGGTCCAACCATGCATCCCGGCGGCAAAACTTAAAGTCCAAATCTTCCTATGATTTTCAATGAAATGTCAAATTGTCTGCCAATTTCCGCCACAAGAAAAATACTATTTATTCCTCATATTTTTCCTAAAAACATATTGAAATTTGAATTATTGTATGAAATTCCATGAACTCACTTTAGCTGAAAAATTTTCATAAACTGACGTAAAATCCCGCTAATAAAAATATTTTCGCTATCGGCAAATGACGCAGACATAACATTGAGACATTGATTACGAGTTGAGTACATATAAACGTTTGATCACCGTTATTTCAACGTCATATGCTTAGTTGGTATAACCATCAGTAAACTAACGAGAACTCGTTACCGAGCCTTTTTTTTATTAAGAATTAATTAACGTAACAACTAACATGTTGACACTAGTAACAGGCTGAGGTTGACAACATTACACCGAAATCTTTCGTACAGTTTTATTCTGTAATTATATTATGTATGTTTCATGCTGGTTTTTAAATAATATTTAATATTATTAAGTAAAATCTAAAGGCTTTATCTATAAATGTAGCGGTAGCGCTGTAGCGGCAAAACCTCGTATCGTTACTTAAATATGTAGCGGCCGCTATTAGCGGCCGCTATAAGTAGCGCGCTACTGCCCACCTCTGTGAATATTACTTGACGACAACTGGACCGATACTGTAACTACTAGCTACATGAAACCATTACAATTAAGCGAAGTGAGAGCATGAAAACTTCAATGAATCCATATTTTAATATGATGCCGGATTCCCATACACTTAATGTCAGGGTTATTTGAATAAATAAATTGAATAAATATATGAATATGAATAAATAAATTCGAAATAGGCAGCAAGGTATTTAAGCCTTTAGATCATAAATAGGCTCGTCTAGAGAATCCTATTTCAGAGAGGCTTTATGCCACAACAAGGTTCGTAATGCAGCCTCACTAATGTTTCATTCGTCGAAGTTATAATGAAAGTTGCTCCTGAAAAGGAAAAAAGAATGATTTTAAACTTGGCGTCTACCGGCAAGATGAACAAGCGAGAAAGCAGAACAAAAAGTCGGTGAATTTCAATGTGTAATCACTTGTTATAATTGGAAAAGAAATTGAGTTAGGGCAAGATGAAATGAAGTGATAATGCAGCAAGATCTTCAGTCAGGACCAAATTAAAATTAATAAAAACTGTGCAAGAATCGAGTAAGGATCAGGTTAAAATTTCGTGATAATTGGGCAAGAGATTGAGTAAAAACCAAGTCGAACCAAAAAATGAAGTAGTTTAAATTAGAGATGAAACACGAATGCCTAGAAGAGATGAATGTATATGCAGTCAGTCGAACATACCTAATTTTGAAACCATGAACTTTCAACAAGCAGTGATGTGAGGCTGGGGACACTATGTTTCCTATCGCAGACTGTAAAATATTTTTGTGAGACAGGATTATTTAATATTCAATTGAGTCCCAAAAATTGGTGGAGGTAGAACCTGCCAAGATTAGAATTCAAGCGCTCCAATCGTGCAACCCAGCGGCCAAACTTAACGTCCAAATCTTCTTCCAATAATTATCAATGCAACGTTAACTTGTATGCAAATTTCCGCCGAAGGAAAATTATCATTTATTCCTCAAATTATTTCTCACAAATATCATTGAAATTTCAGTTATTGTATGAAATTACAGGAACGCTCTGTAGCTTTAGCTCTGAAAATTTTCATCAAAATCGCGTAAAATCCCTACAATAAAAATTTTTCGCTCTCGGCGAATGACGTATAGACACAACATTGATTACGAGATGCATTCATATAAACAACGTTTAATTACCGTTATATCAACGTCTTCTGTCTATTAAGTTTAACCGTCAGTCAACCAAAGACTTTACCTAACCTCTATAGTTACGGCCCGCATTACGGCTCTATAGTTACGGCTAGCATTACGGCTCTATAGTTACGGCTGGCATTACGGCTCTATAGTTACGGCTGGCATTTCGGCTCTATAGTTACTGCCAGCATTGCGGCTCTATAGTTACGGCTAGCATTGCGGCTCTATAGTTACGGCTGGCATTACGGCTCTATAGTTACGGCCCGCATTACGGCTCTATAGTTACGGCTGGCATTACGGCTCTATAGTTACTGTCTCTTATACACATCTAGATGTGTATAAGAGACAGGCTCTATAGTTATGGCTAGCATTACGGCTCTATAGTTACGGCTAGCATTACGGCTCTATAATTACGGCTAGCATTACGGCTCTATAGTTATGGCTAGCATTACGGCTCTATAGTTACGGCTAGCATTACGGCTCTATAATTACGGCTAGCATTACGGCTCTATAGTTACGGCTAGCATCACCGACACTCAGTGTTTCCGTTCTAATTTTTTAGTTAATTTATTAAAAATTAATTAGGTGTTAATATTTTTATAAGGGTCTATGACATTGACCGTTCATTATGTTATGCATGGCACGTCGGACTGACCCTGGGTACGTCGCACTGACCTTGGGTACGTCGGGCTGACCTTGGGTACGTCGCACTGACCTTGATGACGTCGAACCGTCCTTGAATACGTCGGACTGACCTTGGGTACGTCGGACTGACCTTGGGTACGTCGGACTGACCTTGAGGACGTCGTATTGCTGGACGGTGCATTTCTTGACGGGTGCGTCGGTCGACGTCGTGTCCGTTGACTCGTCAACTACAGGCGAATGCGACGTCAAACTCGAAGCCTGATGAGAAAAACAACGACAAATTTTCAGCATCAGTTTAAAAAATTTTACAGAGCAATAAAAAGTTCTAAAGAAGTAAAAGTTCTAAAGAAGTATTCAGGAAAAGTAAATTGTCAGTTAGCACAATTCCTTTTTTTTTCATAAACTGAAATTGTATTTTGGAATTCCAGTTTATTGGAGAAATAATAAGACTTTGGATGCGTAAATCGCTACTCTCGTTTTCTATCAGCAGGATGCTTTCCGTTTTCTTTTATTTCGCCCTAAATTTTCATCAGAACGTTACTCTCACTTTCATCAAAACGTTGCCCTCACTTTCATCAGAACTTTACCCTCACTTTTTTCCAAATTTTGCCCCTTCCCTTGCATCTGAACGTTTCCCTCACTTTCGTCTTAATTTTACCCTCAATTTACATGGTTACTCTCCTCAGCGTTTCATTAGAGGGTAACTTAGCCAGCAAAGGAGCGGCAAAAAGCAAGTTCCCTCGTTGAGGGCTGCTGTCTCCCAGGCTGTTCACTTATTTTTAATGATGATTCCAGGCTTAGAATTATATGTCCTCACTCGCCTGGAAAATAAATTTATTTTGGGTGAATAAACTCATTTTGTTCGAACTATTGTTTTCGAGCTATTGTATATTTTGGGGAATACCAAACAACCGTTTGGGGTCAAAAATGAAACAAAAAAACAAAAATAAATACAAAATATAAAATAAAATACATATACAGAAATAAAAAAATATAAAATATATAAAATAAATAAAAATACAAAAATAACCATGCACGTTCACGGGTACACTCTTTCTTAAAGTTTTTACACTCCTTTTTCCGTGGATTCTGAACGTTTTTTAGATATAATATTTAATGTGATATTTAAAATTCTCATATGCTCTTGTTTGAGGTTTACAGCACTTTTTGGGATTCTATTTCTTTAAGGTCCTTACGGGCTTTTGACAGCTTCTTCCCGCTTTTTAAGCTAAGTAGACGAGTTTTTTTAATATAAATTCGAAACTTGAGAAAGGATGAAGGCATAAAGCTTGCCGGCCGACAAACAAACGGCAGGTTTATAATGAAGGAAAGACGTCATTGTTAACTTAAGCGCTGCCCAACGCTCGTGTATACTCGTAAAAATAAGTGAGAATATGTCAAATTGCTATGCACCACATTTTGTCCTTATGTAGGTTGTCCTGCCCAAGTTTGGCGTGACAATAGGGGCTATAACGGCGCTACTTCCGCTCTACGTGGGTAAGAAAGTCTGTAGACATGTTTGTAAGTATAAAAGTGTGTCACTGTTAAGACAATATGACCCACTCTTATTACTGAGTGTAACCTCATCTCATTTTCCACTGACATTTGCGAGCAAAAGAGCTTGCTAGGCGAGGCTGCTAAGCCTTCACATTGTGGCATTAGTGAACATTTTTCATGATGAACGACTCGCCAAAATGTGAACAAAATTTCCGGCGAAACGTGAATGTTAAAGAAGTCAATTGGAAAGGCAGTTTTTGTTTTTAATCCGAGGATTGTTTGAAGCAAACAATGTGACATTATCGTTGTTATTTTTTTTGCAAGCTCTATTATTTTTCTTATAATATTTAATAGTTTGAAAATTTTTGACATGGAGTGTTTAAAATACTTTGATACATGGACTTTGTAAGGCTTTACTTTTTGACTAGCTAAGTTTGAAATTTAGGATGAAAATGGTTAACGGAATTGCAAAACTCATAGAAGGAACCTATAAACGTTAAACAAATTGTGAAAAGAGTACGTAGAAAAAGTATGAAAAAATTTTTCTTCGGTTTCGTGAAGAATTATTGAGAAATATATATATATTACCTACGCTGAAGAATGACATAATTGTAATTTCTTTGTCAAGCGTTGACTTGTCATTTCCTTGTCAAAGAAGTCAATTGGAAAGGCCATTTTTGTTTTTAATCCGAGGATTGTTTTGAAGCAAACAATATGACATTATCGTTCTCATAATTTTGTATGCTCTCTTATTTTTTATTTCATTTTAAAAGTTCGAAAGTTTTTGACACGGAGTGTTTAAAATAATTTGATGCATGGTCTGGGTTAGGCTTTACTTTTTTGACAAGCTTCGTTTGAAATTTAGGATGAAAATGTTTAACTGAATTGCAAAACCCATAAAAGGATCATAGAAAAGTGAAAAAAATGTAAAAAGAGGACGTAGAAAAAGTATAACAAAATTTTTCTGTTTCGTGAAGATTTTTTGGGAATATATATGTTGCCTACGCTGACGAATGATATAATTGTCATTTCTTTGTCAAGCGTTGACTTGTCATTTCCTTGTCATGCCATGAATTGCCTTTCCCATGTCAGGCCTTGACTTGCCATTTCTTTGTCATGTCATGGCTGGTGGTCATTTGAATTTCTGGATTTACTTGCCATATGCTTGTCAGGTTTTGACTCGTCTTTTCCTTGTCAGGCCTTGACTAGTCTTTACACTTAATATAAGGCCTTGACATATATTTTCCTTGTCAAGGCATGACTTGCCATATCCTTATCATGTCTCGACGTGTAATTTTCTTGTCAGACCTTGACTTGTCTTCTTCTTGTCAGGACTTGTTCCTTATCAAGTATAGATTTATGATTTCCAGGAATGTTTCCAGGTCAAAATAAATCCTATCTTTCATAACACAACTTTCGGTAAAATGTAATTACAAGTTTTAATTAATCGGAAAAACTTTTGTGATTTCACGACAAGTTTTAGGCGAGCGAACCAAACATGGGGCGACGTTTGGTGATTATAACTCCGGAACAACATGGAGGTTGCAGCGTATTTCCTCGAATCATTGAGATTTTTGAGAAATTTTTGATCAATCGACAAGCAGCGGCGCAAAAGTTTCGTTCTGGTCACAAAGTTTAGCATCAAGTTGGGGTTTCGGATGAAGTTGCTTAAGTAAAATGTCAGCAATAATTAGGACCAAGTCTGTGCTTTGCAATGATTGTTGAGAAATAATGACAGATTGATAACGATTTTTATATCATTAGTTAGGGAATGAAATATCGATTTTAATCTTCGACATTTTACCGTTAAGAAATAATTATTATATTGACATGATTTTCGTTGTGATATTATTATCATATCGTTATTAATATTACTATTTTATTATTATTGATGAAATTACTATTATTATTATGTCATTTGATATTTTTCCGTTTACATTAACATTCTTCATTCCATACATAAAACTTCAGAGACATAATACATAACATAACACACAGAGAACTAATCGTACAAAAATTAAACTTCGCACCAATGATAATCATGATCATTGTCTCATCACAGCCACTGAAGACCAATTCTGTCTAAGCTCACTCAAAAAAATGATTGGGTCACGTGAGCAGAGAGTGAACATCGCGCTGGTCAATATGACCTAACAAGGGGATAAAGTGCAACCCCATTTGGACAAAATCTCTCTCATTTCTCTCTGTGAGTAATATGGTGACGCAGGAGGTGCGGTGCAGCTCGCAGTGGTTGAGGTAGAGGCGGCCGTCCGTCCCGCACACGAGCTTGCGGTGCCGGGGACAGAAGGGGCGACAGTCGCAGACAGGATCGTTGCCGACGTCCACGCGACACACGCGCCCACGCGCGCAGAAGTGGCCTTCACATGCGTCTGAAATGACGTAAAAAATGTCATATTAACTTTAAATTGAAGGCCAGACGTCCATAAGTAGCCTTCGCATGCGTCTGAGATGACGGGAAAATCTGGTGTTAATTTTGAATTTAAGGCGACATGTCCATAAGTCTGAGATGACGCAAAAAATCTAATATTAGTTTTCAATTGAAGGCCACATATCCATTAGTGGTCTTCGCATCCGTCTGAGATGACGTAAAAAATCTAGTATATTACCTTTTAATTGAAGGCCACACGTCCATTAGTGGCCTCCGCACGCGTCTGAGATGATGTGTAAGTCAGAACTAATTTTTAATTAACGACGATGCAAACAGAATTACCGACGAACTTGAACACCACGCAAGTCTATGATGGTGTCAAAAATAAGTAACAATTTTTAACGGAATGAAACGCGAGTATAAGTTGCCTTCGCATGGTCAAAAAATAAACGTCGACGAAAGAATTAATTCCAATTTCAAGTTTATCATGATATTCATGATAATATAATTTTGTGGATAGATAATATAAGTTATTATATTGAAATAATTAATAATTATTAATAATAATCTGTTTCGGTCAGGATCAAATTATCATTAATTTTGAGAGATAGAATCTCCTCCAGCATCCAGGATAAGTTGAGAATTAATACCGAGATTACATTTTTGCTCAAAAGGCGCATGAATGAAAAATTGCACTCAAAAATAGTCGTAAAATTCAAGTTTTTTTTTAAATATTGTCCAAATACTATCATTTTCTCCCCGTACTACTGCCAAGCCTTTTTAGCCGAACCAAATGAATAAGGATGACCCACTCATTGACATGAAGTGCATCACGATTTATACAAAACGTTTCTAAGAGCGCGTACCTTTACGAGACTCAGGAGGCGTGTCCAGCTCCATGGCGGTTGCCTCGTCGTCGCCCCACACGCGCTTGTCGGGGTCATCCACGAACGGCACGGCGTCACGGTGACGGCGCGACTGAAAATACAAATATATTGGAATTTATTCATTAATAAATTATAAATAGAAATAGATAAATACGATAGATAGCTATTAGACATCTATAATAGTCTGATAGACAGCTGTTAGATATCTATGATAGATAGCTATTAGATATCTTTGATAGATAGCTATTAGATATCTATGATAGATAGCTATTATACATCTATGATAAATAGCTATTATTCGTCTATGATAGATAGCTGTTAGATATCTTTGGTATATCGCTATTAGAGATCTATGATAGATAGCTATTAAACATCTATGATAGAGAGCTATTAGAGATATCTATGATAGATAGCTATTAGACATCTATGATAGATAGCTATTTTTCGTCTATGATAGATAGCTATTAGATATCTATGATGATAGCTATTAGGTATCTATGATAGATTGATATTAGATATCTATGATAGATAGCTATTAGATATCTATGATAGATTGATATTAGATATCTATGATAGATAGCTATTAGATATTTATGAAAGATAGCTATTAGATATCTATGATAGATAGATATTAGACATCTATGATAGATAGCTGTTAGACATCTATGATAGATATAACTATTAGACATATATGATGGATGGCTATTAGAAATCTATAATGGATAGCTATTAGACATTTATGATAGATAGCTATTATACATCTATGATAGATAGCTATCAGACATTTATGATAGATAGCTGTCTGATATCTATGATGGATAAAAGGATAGATATCTAATAGATATCTATTCTTTTATCTGTGCATTCAAATACAAGTACATTTGATTCTATTAGAAAATAAATTTAAATAGGTATATTTATGTTCAAATGTACAATATATTCAAATGCAAATAGATTTGATTCTATTTGAAAATAAAATGTGCATTAAAAAAATTAATATTATTTCTAGTGAGTTAATGGTGAATGTTCAAAAGGAAAATTGGAATGAGCATTCGTTTAATAGATTAATTGAAGAATAGTATATAATGTTTATGATTATTCATGGAATTATTAATTATTGCTTTATAATTATCCTAAATTAAAATGTTAATACTGACACAACAAAGCTTGTCGTGCCGAAGTGACACACGAAGTGAAGCTCCCTGCTCAAGTGGAAACAAACATGACCTGACGTCATACGAAGCAAATTCTAACTTGATACAAATTTTTAGATTCTTCAGATAATAGGTAATGGCCGTTATAGATCATCTATGAAAATTTCCTAGTGTAGTGCAGGTAATGTAAGTCAAAAATAATAAAATTATAAATGAAGCGAAAATTTTCAAGTGTTGTTAATGAACATCGAAGAAGAGCCGCAAAGAGCGACGATTAGAAATGTAAATAAGTATTGTAAATACTTTGTAAATAATACTTTGTACTTTGTAAATAATACTTTGTACTTTGTAAATACTTTGTAAATATTGTAAATACTTTCAAAATAATAACTTGTTCTGAATAACCATTTCCCCAGTGAGACCGGTCCAAACTTCAATAATTATTCTTCTATTTTTTATTTTTTTAAAGACTAAACTCTCTTCTTTGATTAATTTGGTCTGGGTTTCCCGAGACTTCACTTTTCGAGACGGACGATATTTTGGAAAAATTAACTCGTGCTTCAGAGGTCAAACCTTGTTCAAAATGTAATATTTAATGTACGATAAGTTTCAAGCTCCTGTGACTTCCTTTCTCACAACAAAATTACTCTTAGTGATAGGGTGCACCAAAGTCAACCTATGTGATCGCTAACTAATTAGGTCGTTGACCTGGAAAAATATAGAAGACGAATGAAACATAATTATGTTATCAAAGCACTAATGTCACGTGTTATCACAACATTTGAAATCTCGTCGACAGATTTCTATAACGCTCGTTGCACTAAATTCAAATTAAAAACGAAAGGGCTATTTCGAGTGTCAAAATTACAGGAAGATTTCATAAGAGAAGCATAAAGTATACGCTTAGAAAATATAATTAGATAAGTACGCGGAATGAATGTCTTTATAACAGTTTAAAAGACGAAAACATGCAGACATTACCAAATAGTTCATCTCCAAGTTGTTATTCATAGAGACATTTATGTGTACGATACTTTGCTTCAACTACGCATAATATTCTACAGTCGGCAGGAAAAGTTTATAAATTAGAAGTGAAAATGTTCCACGTACAAGTCAACACTAATGTCACGTGTTATCACAACACTTGAGATCTCGTCGACATATTTTCATAACGTGCTCCCAAAAGTCAAATAAAAAGCGTAAGGGCTATTTCATGCGTCGAAATTACAGTAGATTTCATAAGAGAAGCACAAAGTATACGCCAGGAAAATATAATTAGAAAAATACCCGAAATGATTGTTGCTATAACAGGTTAACAGGTAAAAAATGACATTACCTAATCGTTCATCTTCAAGTCATATAGAGACATTTATGTATACGATACTTTGCTTAAACTAAACTTAATATTTTACAGCCGTCAAAAAACATTTGTAAATTAGAAGTAAACATGTTCCACGTACAAATCAAATTAATAATTTATTTCCAGAAAAAGTGCGTATAACTTTTATGAGTTCTTCCGAGCAACGTGGGCAAGTAATTACGAAGGACTTAATGAGCAATTAAGATGAAGATTTACAACTTCAATCTGAAACCCATCAAGGAGTAAGAACTTTTCAAAAACATCTTCCGTGGAAAATATGTTTAATAGTTAACGTGCATATTTTTGATGTTTATACCCGAAACTCTTAAACAAAGTTACCAATTTTACCCTCTACCGCCTGACATGAGTAACCGGAGCAATATTGTCACAAGCCTACTTCCCAAAAAGGATACGTTCTAGTGAGCGCAAAATGACTTGCACTGATGGTTGCCGCCACGTACAACTTTAAAATGTTCTCTGTTGCATACAAACGTCCTTAGGCTGCTACACTCAATAGTTTACGTATAATTTAAGCTGAAAGTTGTGTTCCCGGAGAGTGACATACGGCGGTAGAGGGTTAAAAATGCCACGAATATAAGTTTACAGCCAATTGTACGTCGTTAAACACTTAGGAATATTAGCATTTCACCACGAAGGTAATTTAGCACGAACTTAATAAGCGTAGTAAATCTTTTAAAGGAAATTGGGATGCAATTTACTAATGAATTCAATTCAGGGTCGCGCGTAAACCATCTGAAGTCAGAAGATTGGCAAAGAAAATTAGGTTATTAATTTGGAAGCGCAACGAGTGGTAAGTAACGGACGCCTTGCGGCTCACTTTGTAAAGGAGTTACGGCTCATTATGAAGAGAGGTCCTAATGCTCACTCTGAAGTTGAGTCTTACGGCTCATTATGAAGAGAGGTCCTAATGCTCACTCTAAAGTTGAGTTACGGCTCACCCGTAGGAGGAGTCTTAAGGCTCACTCTGAAGTTGAGTCTTACGGCTCACCCTGAGGGGGAGTCTTACGGCTCATTTAGAAGAGGAGTCTTAAGGCTCATTCTAAAGAGTCTCATGAGACATGACTCTTCATGTGCCATTTCTTAAAGTTCAGGAGCAAGTAGCTAGACTACTGGCTTTGTAACAAATTTTATGTGAATGTTGTGTGTGAAATTTTCTCTCTTAGCTTTCCAGCCGTGGTTAGAGACTTGCGGTAAATATACTGTCCTGTGGCATATGTAAAACGCTGTTCGTTTTGTTGGGTTTTGGTTTGACGTAAGTCCGCGTTTTCAAGGATAACCACGGTTTCAACAACAAATATCCCGTTTATTGNACTTCTGGCTGCTCGGATTTGAGAATTTTGGAGTCTCTACATATCTTCAAACGAAAACCATGTCTCAATAATGCGTTTAGCTCATATAATCTGGAAATAGTAAATCGCTAGGATTTTATATTCTTGTCGTACCCCTAGGTCTAAGTTGTTCATAACAAGTCCTGTTTATTTCGATATAATGTTAGGTCTTGTTTAGGTTTTATGTCTGTCTTTGAATTTTGACTTTTAAAGTGATTTTATTCATTTTTAGTTTAGTCGAACTGATGATGGAGCTGGACTCCAAAAGTTTTCAATATCGATATGGTGAATTTTCTTGGCGTTTTCTTTGCTTTTAAATTCCTTGTGAACTTGCGATATAAGCAGACTAATGATATAAGTACTTAAATCATGAATAAATGACCCTAACCGCATAACCTGGGCAATTTTTTATCGGTATATATTAGACTGGCCTCTCTGGTGTCTTTCGCCATATAACGCTTTGTAATATAGGTTCCGACTCGTGATCCCCCTAAAAGTAAATTTCCTTAATTTTTGCGAGTTTCAGCAAAATCAGGTTATTTATCTAGCCGAGCGTAACCTGTAATAACCCAGGACCTAATCGTTTCAATATTATTTTTGGTATGCTCAGACAATCCCCGTAAGGTAGTTTTACATCTGTATATAGTTGAAGGGAGGAAGGCGAAAATCAACCTAACCTGAGCAATTGAAAGTTTTATAGCATTAAAAATAAAAATAAAGGGATGAGAGTTATCCCACTTCATATAAAGAACAAACACTGCAGCAGTTTTAGAAAACAAGGACTTAATTTTACGCGCTAATTTATGCTCCGTTAATCACGTATATGTACATCGCGATTTATCCAAACATTTTATTTTATTTATGATGAGATTATCAATATATGGCGCGGAAGTTCTGCCTTCTGCCAGCGCACCAGTATAAGCTCGAAATACCCCAAATAATTCAAACCGTGATAACTGAGAGATTACTGGACTGCAGGCAGATTGGATGATTTTTTGGCTGAAGCAATTGTTCTTTTCTGATTTCAATTACTTTCAGAGCAGAGAACACCGAGTAGTGGGTCATAACTCAATATTCGATGAATTCCGAGTTGTGATCGAGTATCACTGAAAAAATTTTCCTTTAAATTTTTTTTTTCACGTGATTCACTTTATGAATTTATTAACCTATCGAGGGATGTACAATTCAAACATGATTGCCGAACATATTATAAGGCCAGAGTCGAATT